AGGAGAGAGAGCAAGGAGAGACAGCCAGGAGAGAGAGCGAGGAGAGACAGCCAGGGGATAGAGAGCGAGGAGAGACAGCCAGGGGAGAGAGAGCGAGGAGAGACAGCCGGGGGAGAGAGAGAGGGGAGAGAGAGAGAGTCCCCAGTTCTAATTCCAGCCAGGACACCATCTGCATGGAGTTTGCTTGCATGGGTTTCCTCCCACAGGCCAAAGACAAGCTAGTAGGTAAACTGGCCCTAGTATATGAGAGACCTCAGACTGTAAGCTCATTGATGGCAGGGACTGATGTGAATGATACCTGTAATACATTTTATATACATTTTGTACACTGGAGTGGCTGGTTTGTGGTTGGTTGTAATTTGCCGTTCATGGCTACTTGGGAATTGGCATTTTTTGGGGATGGGAACACTATCAGGTATAGTCACTAAAGGGTGCAGAGTTTGGAGAAGGCGGGTTGAACCACTAAGTGCAGTATCAGACTCTTGAAAGATTTTGCGAGCGGTAATTTCCTTTGGTTACAGCGCGGATGGTGTTGTGAGCAGCGGATCAGATTCGGATCTGTGCACAGCATAAGATTTTTGGAATGAGATCTGAGCCGTGCTGTTACTGAACTAGGCATCTGCCCTTTACCTGCATTGGAATGATTTGTTATTCTGCGGGACCATGGAGTTTTACATCCTTGGATTTTCACACCATACAAGCCAAAATATGGCCGCTATGGACTTTTTATTGCCTGCGAGGCGCTGGTCACTATATCTGGCAACATATGTACCAAAAAACTCTGTTTTAATGCAAATTGTTGAGACACATAGATTATCTATTTTTCTGGCTGGCTGGTAGGAGTGCTGGGAGTAAAACAGTTTCTCATAACGCCCTCCCAGGAAGCCTTCTCACCCCGACTGTTACCAGATCAGATCCGTACCTGAATCCGGCTGTTGCCCCAGTCTGCCACAATTATGTTCCCATTAGAATCCACAGCGATGCCGGTGGGAGCGTTAAACTGACCATTTCCCTCACCGTGCGAGCCAAACTTATGGAGGAACTCTCCTTCAGCACTGTAAACCTACAAAAGGGCAAAGAGAACAGGAAATAAGGAGGAGAAAGCCCAAACCCAAAATGTGCAATCAACCACCCAGCACCAGTTACTTACGATGAATGGAAATTGCAGTGGCTGGATTTGGTCTAGAATGTTAGCCAGCATCCCTGCACCTTTGTTTTCATTCAGCTGTCGGCTGGGAAATCTCTTGGCTAGCAGCTGAATGGGGTCAGGGATGTATTATTGGTTGCCAGGCCACTGTCAGTAGCACAGCGAACAGTGTCCTAGCAATCAATGATGCTGTGCAGCCGAGAGCGCCCTAGCACCCAATGATGCTGTGCAGCCAAGAGCGCCATAGCACCCAATGATGCTGTGCAGCCGAGAGCGCCCTAGCACCCAATGATGCTGTGCAGCCGAGAGCGCCCTAGCACCCAATGATGCTGTGCAGCCCAGAACGTCCTAGCACCCAATGATGCTGTGCAGCCGAGAGCGCCCTAGCACCCAATGATGCTGTGCAGCCCAGAACGTCCTAGCACCCAATGATGCTGTGCAGCCGAGAGCGCCCTAGCACCCAATGATGCTGTGCAGCCGAGAGCGCCCTAGCACCCAATGATGCTGTGCTCCCGAGAGAGCCCTAGCACCCAATGATGCTGTGCAGCCGAAGGCATTCTACCCACCAAGGACTCTGTGCAGCTTGGGGGCTGAACATGGATTGAGGACAGAGCGTCCACAGCATGGATAATCTGTTGCATGGAGGCCTGGTGGGGACAGCACTGAGGCCAGACACCCATCCATCCAGCAGGTACATGAATCTGTCGCAGGCACGGACATTTGTTGTGCAGAGACACAGCCCAACTCTAAAGAGTTTCAATGTCTATAGATGAATTCCACTGTATATCACAGGGGTAGGCAATCTCGGCACTCCAGCTGCGTTGAAAATACGAATCCCATCATTCTTCTGCCTCTTGGAGACAAGCCTGTGGCTGTCAGAGTCTTGCAATGCTTCATGGGACTTGTAGTTCCACAACAGCTAGAGTGCTGCGGTTGCCTACTCCTGGTATAAGATATGATGATCCCTTGGGGCAGAGCTGGGTGGTAGCAGAAAGTGTGACAATAACTCACCTTCACAGAATGGTTGTGGAAATCCGTCACCACAATCTCATTCTTGTTGTTCACCGCCACAAAATGTGGCCCTAAAAAAAATGAAAAAAAAAAACATTAAAATATACAACAAAGTAAAAGGATGAACCTGAAAAAAAAACGACCTTGCCTCTCACTAGGACTCCCCGACCTCAGCTCCCTTGTACAAACTCCACCCATTACAGCGCAGCCCCCGTCAACAAAACCCCACCAACTACTCATCACTATATTCCTATCCCGGCTACTGCAATTGTAGGACATAAATATAACATATTGCAGCTTACCAGATGAGGGGGCTGTATTAATACATAAAGATAGCCGTTGATCCTGCCAGATATCCAGTGTCCTCATCTCTTCCTGTGCACTGAACTGAAATCTCAAATGATTATATCAGCTTTCTCAGCCATCTTCTGTAAAGTACTAAGCAACACCCCCCTGTATACTGGAGATGAGGAGAGTGGGAACAGTTTGTAGCCCAAATCAGGAGAGCAGCCTAGCCCCCTAAGAGAAGAGGAGTTATTTGCAGAATCATCAGGAAAAGTCTCAAAATTCAGAAATAGGTGCTGCCGCCCTTAACCATAAGTGCAACTGCACCAGTGTTTTCCGCTAGTCCCCCTGCAAAGTACTTATTGATCCTCATAGTGCACTTAATGCCGCTTCTTGTGATGGGGAAGGGGGCACAGATGCCGCACTGCTGCTGAATTCACAGCAGAGTTGTCACTCTGATGTAGGCTGTGCCTGCTTGCACTACAGTGGGATGAGAAGATGTTGCAGCGAGCGTTGGCCATCAGCATTGTTACTACTGGTTCACAAGCCTGTATCTTGTCAATCAGCACCTGGTCACACCTAGTCCCGCCCACTGAATTGAAAGCACTGCCTCTGATGCTGAAACCCTCCCACTTAGAGCTGCAGTGTCTGGGAGGGGGAGCATGCGAGACACAAATGAAGGAAGATTTGGCTCAGTCAGGGGAGGTAAAGGTAGTTTTTTTTTTGGTTCTGCAAATAGGGATGCACCGATACCAGTTTTTCAGTATCAAGTACGAGTACCGATATTATGCATTTGGTACTCACCAATACAGAGTACTGATACCGGTGCTTCCTCTGGCATGGAGCCGGCTTCCCGGGCAATCAGGAAGCCAAGCGGCGGGTAATGACATGCCACCCGTCTTCCTGATTGCCCGGGAAGCCGGCTCCATGTTGTTGGCCGGCTTGATTGTGATTGGCCGGCAAACCGGCTTCCCAGCCAATTAGCTGCATGCCGATTAGCTGGAAAGCTGGCTTCCCAGCCGATCAGCATCGAGCCGGCTTTTGGGCCGTCTTAATGCTGATTGACTGGGAAGCTGGCTTCCCGGCCTATCAGCATTGAGTCGGCTTCCAGGCCAATCAGCATCGAGTCGGCTTCCAGGCCAATCAGGTAACCGAGAGGCTGATCATTATTCGCAGCCCAGTTTCCTGAAGGTGGGAAGGTGGCTCCATGTTCCCCTACAGCACTGCTGGTCAGAGGGAATCTTCCTCTGACCGGAAGTTCTGGTATCGGGGAAGATATTGGAGCATTTAGGCGAGTACACGCCCAAATACCAGTATCGGCACCGATACCAATACTAGTAGCGGTATCGGTGCATCCCTATCTGCAAAGGCTGCATCAGGCTTTTGCATTTCACAATAGCTGGATTTGAGACTTTAGATGTACCGAAAATAGAAAACTAATGCAACCACCACATCTAAGGACTGGTAAGCTGCAATACATTATATTTTTGGGTTTAGATATGCGATAACAATGTGTGCTAGTCACTATGTACCTTGGTCTTCAGCTAGCCTCCCACCAATCTGCCATTCTTCCAATCCAAACAACACCAGCCTCCCAACCCATCTGGAGCCCCATTAATCCCCTCCAGAACCTCAGTTCTTTTGATTCCGATCTTGCTTACCGTCCAGCGTTCCAGACTGCTGCTTGTCTCCTGGGCTGCGGCCTCCAAACTTCCCCACTAATTTTCCATTGGACTGGAAGATGAAGATGCAGCAGGATTTGTTGTCCACTACGATCAGATGACCATTCCGATCTACGGCAACTCCTTTGGGACCCATCAGACGACCCACACCAATCTTGTTCTGTATTTTACAAGATGGCCAGTCAGAACAGGTGGAAAAGAACCAGAACACAATGCCTTTGGAGCATAAAGTTAAAAAAAGAAATGTCTACTGGACAACAAAGCTAACATTTCTGAGTATGGACAGCAGTGGCACAAAAATCCCAACCTGTAGACATACCTTGAACTTCCCCTCTGGAGAAAATATGCTGACCCAGCGATTGTCATAATCTGCCACAACAATATCGCCATTTGTGTCCACAGCCACACCTGTTGGACGCTGCAACTGCCCTGGGGACCGTCCCCGAACCCCAAAACGCAACTTAAACTGGCCCTCATTGGAGAACACCTGCCATGGGAAGAATGAAAGAGAACTAGTAAAAGAAGATACAGGAGAAAAAAGTGCAGCGGAAGTTGACAAAATCCGACCTCACCTGAATGCATTGATTATTACTGTCTGCCACCACAATCCGATTGTTACTGGAGGCACAGATGCCCTGCAGGTTGGAGAATTCACCCTTCTCTCGACCACGGGATCCTGAAAAGACATATTTGCAATGAGTGTCCCGAGGATCAGCAATATAAAACCGTAGCTGCCCATTGTTATAACTATTATATGTATTCCGGCACTCAACATCTTGTAGCAAAACAGTATTTCAAGCTTTCAAGTATCCTTACTCTTCCTCGGTTTGTATGTGCATAGCCTGAGGACCAGCAGAGATGCTTGAAAGTCTGAAATAAGCCCTGTGAAGTGACAACTCTGAATGCCACATTAATGGCTGCACATCTGGAGCACTTTCTTGTGTTGGCGTTCCAGCATTCAGATCTTTCTGCCACTAGGTGATACGTGACCAGTGTAGGTGTGTGGGTTGATGATTATAATACCGTATTTGCCGCTGTATAAGGCGACTGGGCGTATAAGACGACCCCCTACTTTTTGTGTTAAAATATAGGTTTTGGGCTATACTCGTCGTATGAGACGAGTGTAGCCCAAAATAATTGTTTAAATGCACCCGCTAATCTCCATGGCGGTATTCCCGAGTGTGGCTCGGGGGTTAATTTTCAGTACCATAAAGAGTATACCCGGCGTATAAAACGACCCCCGATTTTCGGGCGATGTTTTTGGGTCTAAAAACCCGTCTTATACGCCGGCAAATGCATAGAAATTGTTTAGTACGGATGCACAGATACCGTTTTTTCGGTAAAGAGTACCAATATTTTTTTCTGGTACTTGCTGATACCGAAAGTCCCATTAAGGAAGCCAGGCGACGTGTAAAGACTTGCCACCCGGCTTCCCGATAAGCATGTCACCAGGAAGCATGGAACTGAGTAATGACTCGATGCCCGGCTTCCTGATTGGTCGAGAAGCTGGCCAATCAGGAAGACGGGCAACGAGTCATTACCCGGCGCCGCGGGGGGGCGTGGCTGGCCAGCTTTATGAACCAATCGGGAAGCTAGGCGGCGAGTCATAACACACCGCCAAGTGACGAGGGAGCATGGAGCCAGCTTCCCGGCCAATCAGGAAGCCGGGCAGCGTGTAATGACTCGCTGCCCTGCTTCCTGATACGGGAAGCTCAGGTATCGGGATAGGCATCGGAGCATTTGGGCGAGAACGAGTACTCGCCCAACTACTTGGCATCGGCACCAATACTAGTATCGGTGCATCCCTAGTTTTTAATCTAGACAGCCTTATGAAAGCAGCTAGAGAAGCCTTTACTTTCTAAACTCCTACAGCCAAAACTCAACTAATCCTAGAACCATACAAAAGAGGAACACCTAGACCTATGGTGCTACCTAGATGCCATTACTACATCTAACAGTATCCATCATTCCGGCTACAACAAGAATCAAGAACAAACTCATTTTCTGAGAATGGCCTATTCTATCATAAAGTTTCCTCCCTTCCCACAGATTCTTCTACTACCACCAAGATTGCCCTATGGAGCCTTCTACCACCAAGATCTATGGGGCTACATTGGAGGTAGTGTGATACCACAGTGATCCCCCCCTATCTTCCCCCTCTTCACCAAGATCGTCCCATAAATCCTACTACAACAAAGGTCCGTCCATAAATCCCTCTATGACTACCAAGATCCTCCAATAGATCCCTTTTCTACCTCCAAAGATTGCCCTATGGAGCCTTCTACTACCACTGAGATCTATGGGGCAATATTGGAGGTAGTGTGATACCACCCTATAGATCCTCCTATTCACCAGAATCGTCCCATAAATCCTACTACAACAAAGGTCCTTCCATAAGTCCCTCTGTTTCTACAAAGATCCTCCAATAGATCCCTTTTCTACCTCCATGAATTCCCCCAATAGATGCTTTTATATTTTATAGTGCTTTGGGGCACTTAAGTGCATTTTTCACTAAAGTTTTGGGTTTGATATGAAGTTGCGCTAACATAGTGCAACATAAAAATATGCGACAGCCACCATTTTATTCTACAGGGTCTCGGCTTTTGGAAAATATATAATGTTTGGGGGTTTGAAGTAGTTCTCAGGCCTAAAATGTGGATTATTATATGGGTGCAAAAAACGGGGGAAAAAGGCCTCGGTCATTAAGGAGTTAATATAGATCGGATCTTCAAGTTACAAAACTAGAATACCTAAGATCTAATTCCTAACCTATAATTGCTCTTCCAAAATAAAAAATTAAATCGCTATCTCCTCACCATCTTTTTTTGACTTGTAACAGTAATGTCTTCCTTATATTGTAAAGCGCTGCGCAAACTGTTGGCGCTCTATAAATCCTGTATAATAATAATAGAATAATCTTCCATTCCCTTACCAACACGCAGGATCATCTCATCTTCGATGGGGTTCTCCTTTTTCTTGTTGGTGCTATACATACTCGATGGCCTCCTCACGGCCTTCTGTCGTATGTGCCCTCCGCTGGGCGACTTAACCCTGCGCTTGACATCTTCCGGTGAGGCCGGTACATCCCCAGGTTTGACAGCTCTCACCCTAAATGGGCTCCCACGTAGCGGTTGGCCGTAAAGTCGCAACGACAGCTGATGCTCTCCTTCGTGACGTGGCGTGTAGACCACCTCATAAGTCCCGTTCTTATTGTCAGTGACCTCCCCATCATGGTTTGCTCCATCCGGACTAGTCAGCTGGGCCTGTAGAATGGCATTACCACTTCGGACCAACTCTCCCTCCTTGTCTTTAGTGGTGACCGTGACAGAAGTCTGTTGTCCCACCAAGGCTTGGCGCAGACCTTCCCCTGTAGCAACGGAGAAATGAGCCACAGCGCTGGTGGTAAGAAGAGCCCCCAAATTCTGGAGGGAACGGCGAAGGCCATCGGTTTCCACCCGGAACTCAAGCTGTGGGTTCTGCTGAGGGTGCAAAGGGAAGTCACGGGAAGCCAACTCGTTTAATCGCTCGCTCATCTGCTTCCTCACCAAGAGCACTTCCGTCTCGGAGCCGTGGCCAAGAGCCTGTTCCGTAAAACGCATGCTGCTCTCCATGTTGTCTAGGCCTTGTCTCAATGCTGAGAGTTGTGCCTGGAGGACCTGGAGTTGGAGACACCACATGCAAGTAAAGACGAATATTAAATGCAGAACCAACAATGTGAGTGCAGCGCAATACAATAATGAAGGGACAACAACTGTGTGTATTGGTGGAATGACGAGAAATGCTGGGGTATGTTCCCAGAACTCATATGAAAGGAGTAAACCACTTGGATGAAACATCTCCAACCTTCCTAAGCAGGATCAGGTACATATGACCAACTACCACGAGCCATACATGACCTGGATAAATAAGAACCAAACACTGGTATGGAACTTTAACAGCTGAGGTCAGTGATACCTTACCAATTTTCCCCATTGGGACACAGATGGCAAAACAAAAATCCCTGATAAGGGTTTCAGGCAGGGGTAGCCAAACTCCGACCCCCCAGCTGTGGTGGAACTACAAATCCCATGAGCCATTGCAAGATTCTCACAGCCACAGACATGACTCCCGGAGAGAGATGCATCATGGGAATTTGTTGTTTCTCTACAGCTGGAGGGCCGAAGTTTGGCTACCCCTGCCTGAAACCCTTATCAGGGATTTTTGTTTTGCCATCTGTGTCCCAATGGGGAAAATTCCTTTCATCTCCTGTCCTGGTGACAACATGAACCGGAAAGAAAAACTCTCCAAAACAAGGAAGGTCCCATGGAAGACAACTGGCATTGGAGCCGGTGTCCCCAGTGGAAGAAGATTCCCCTATTTCTGTTCTCATTACAGCTCAAAATTTTAATCTTCCTTCACTTTCACGTGTGGGCCCCAAGACAAGGAGAGAGGGTGAATCTTCCCGATGCAGAAACAGACCGCAATAAAAACCTTGTGGCTGGGAATGCAGAGCACAAACGTTCAACTTCGGAAATTTGGTTAAATTATTTGTAAGGAACATCAGATACAGCCAATGGGAAGAATTTATCAAAACTGGAGCAGCTGAGCACGGCATCCAATCGGCTTCTCTCTTCAGTCTGTTAAGGTTTGAAAATGAAAGAGAAGCTGATTGGTGGCCGTGCACAGCTGCTCCAGACTTTGTCTGCTCCAGTTTTGATAAATCAAGCTCAGTACAAAGCCTGGATAAGGTCTAGGACAGGGCTAAGAACGTCGTCGGCAGCCCTCTTTGATGCTGATCTTCTAAGACCCATTCTAAACCTAACCGCGGCCTTTATTAAAGGAGAACTATGAGGGGGGAGGGGCTTTTCACTCACCTCATAGTTCTAGCCGACCTGTGACAATGAGACTGTCACAGGTCGGCTGAGTAATGAACCTCCTCAGCGGGTACACAGACAGCATTAGGAACTTGGCAGCGTTTCTAACCCTTCCAAACTCTATCCAAAACCAACATTTTGGCTTTAAAAGGCCGTTCCACCCAGGATTGTTTTTTCATTGTCTAGTGCAGTGTTAACCAAACTTCAGCGCTCCAGCTGTGGTGGAACTACAAATCCCATAAGGCACTGCAAGACCGACAGTCACAGGTGTGACTTCCAAAAGCAGATGCATGATGGGATTTGGAGTTGGGCTGAAGTTTGGCTGCCTCTGGTCTATTGGATAATGCCCCAGCCCCTAATGCCCCAATAACCTAGCCCCTAATGCCCCAGCCCCCATTCCCTAACCCCTAATGCCCCAGCCCCAATGACCTAGCCCCTAATGCCCCAGCCCCAATTACCTAGCCCCTAATGCCCCAGACCTAATGACCTAGCCCCTAATGCCCCAGCCCCAATGACCTAGCCCCTAATGCTCCAGCCCCAATGACCTAGCCCCTAATGCTCCAGCCCCAATGACCTAGCCCCTAATGCCCCAGCCCCAGTTTACAAACACACTCACCTTCTGCTTGGTGATAGAGATGGCCTCCAGGTCTTGCAAGAGAGTGTTCTTCCTGTTCTGCAGAGCTCGCTCTAGCTCGTCAAACGTCGTACAGATCTCGTTGACAGCGGCATTCTTCCGCTCGCTCAGCTGCCGGCTGATGTCAGACACAAGGTCGATGGCGGAGGTCAGCTGAGGGATTCTGACAGAGAAGGGAGGAGTTTTGGTTAAGCAGCTCGGGGCCATTCGCACAGCTTTCACTTATGTATTGTGCACACTCTGCTGAAACTTGAATTGCCCTCCCTGGTTGGTCCCCCCTTTGCCCCATCAACTTTCTCTATGCACTGCAGGCAGATCATAGTGTGCGTGTTTCCAATGCTGCCCTCTCTCTGAGCCCATGGCAACTCAATCCACACACAAGGAAGAACAAGGGGGACCGTATAACACACTGACCATATATCTGTTTCTTACCTCCTGTGTTGACACTCTCAATGCCTGCAGACCTGCATTTCCACACTACAACCCTTAATCCCGCCTCCATGTACTCTCTGAATGATTTCAATCAGCACATTGCACTGCTCATCTAAAGGGACGCGTCCTTAAAGGAGAACTATGAGGGGGGGGGGGTGCTTTTCACTCACCTCATTGTTCTGGCCGCCCTGTGACAATGAGACTAGATCGCGGCACAATTGTCGGGATCCGCTTCAGCTGCGGCATCTCAGTATACCGCGAGCTGTAGCTCCCTATATACTGAGCCTAGGGTGACGGGATGACGCTAGTTTGTGTCCTCCCGTTACCCTAAGGAGAACTATGGGGAAAAGCACCGACCCCATAGTTCTCCTTTAAATATAATGCTCGGGCTGTTGGAAGGGTGCTATGATGGTTACAGGAGCCTCCTGGCCCCTTCCACCCAACTCGGAGCAGAGCCCAGCAGGAGGAA